TTTCCTCATGCTCCTATGCCGTACATTTCTAGTTGTAAATAGTTAATACAAACATAAAATTCGTCTATCTGAATAGGTTTATTTCTGTAAACCTATTCTGTGTATTTTTCACTATAGTATTATATACACATATATGATACTAAAGTCTAAAGTTACAAGTGTTTATATCCTAGTTATTTTTGCATCTCCAATAATACGGCAAAACCTACTATTTTTTTTCATGCATATATTTGAACTTTTTTTATGATATCGTTGGGCAATTCTAACTATATTCAGAATATCTGTGTATAAATGAGTGTGCACTCTCTATTTCTCACTTTCTTTGTATTTATACTCACTCACACACACACACACACACACACACACACACACACACACACACACACACACACAAACTCAACAAAACAAACAAACACACACACACACACAACACAACACACACACAAACACACACATATATTATAGGAGTGTTTGTATGTGTGTACATATACATATGCACACACATATATATAGACATGTGTAAGTAAGCATGTGTGTCTGGCCGCATGTGTCTGCCGGCCGGTCCAGCCATGCCACTAACGGCGCAGCGGTAAGGTGCTGGTCTAGCAATCTTGCGGACCTGCGTTCAATCCCACGCCCGGCCAGTGAGTGGTAACCCCGGCCACTCCTTGCACACAGGGGGAGATTTGGGCAAAATAAAACAGACAGTATGTCACAGCAAAGAATATCCATTGTAACAAATGGAATTAGAACTAAATCTTAAATCTTAAATCACTAACCGGACGCCCTCTGCCGCAGGAGAGCGCCCCGCCGCCATGCAGCACGGGACGAGCGGCGCCGACGCAGCGTCCTCCTTCTCCCGGAGGAACCTGCTCTTCCTCAGCGTCTTCGCCCTCGTCGAGCTCCTCCAGACGCTCCTGCGGTGATGGTCTCAACCGGAGGCGCCCTTCCTCTTCTCCCCCTTCCTCTCCTTTTCTTCTTCCTTCGTTTTTCGTCTTCTTTTTTAATTGTGAATTGTGAGCTTATAAGGACTTCGTTGTGTTGTGTGTGGGTCATTGTACAGGAACCTGGAATGGCAAGAGTAACAGGTGTTTGAAGCTGCTGGGGGCGTCTATGACCTGTGAACAGTGATGAACTGTTTTGAACAACTCTGAACCGCGAAGAATATGAAACAAATAATAGAAAGAAATAATAGAAAGAAATAATAGAGTGAAGTCTGAACAGCTATTACCTATGAAAACAGTGAATTGAGCATTACTTTGAAAAAGAAAATGTGAGATATGTACAACTGTGCATTTCTTTAAACAAATGTGAACAGTTGCGGATTATGAACATATATTCCTCTCTTCTGGCTGTTGAAACTATCCATACCTCGTGTGTGTGTGCGTGTGAGTGTTTTTCATTCAAGAGAAGTGATATGTATGTCATGTCTAGGCGATTCCGTTTCCAATATATATATATATACAGTATGTGTTCATCGTTCAAAATGGAGACCTGGTTCACATTTCATGTTTATACCAAGACTGAAGAGATTTATGATTTCTGTTTTGATTTGATTTATCAACATTATTAATATTATTACCTCAGTAAGAATGACATTAGTGGAAGAAAACTATGTTCTAATAAGGCTGCACATTTCAAAACAATACATGTATATAATCCCAGCAAATGTATTCATTGTTGGTGTTTAACGTGAAAATATGAATGGATTATTTTGTGTATCTGTATAATAATTTCGAGAAAAAATATCTACTATATATTGCCAATGAAAGTAAAGAAAAAAAGAAGAAAAAATCGCATGATATAAAGATTGACACGAAGTTATAACTTAAATGTTCAGAACATCTTGTAACAACGTTCACCGTCACCCAGTGAACAAAGGTGAGCGTTGATAGTGGACCAGTGACCCCTTTCTAAAAATAGATATGTCAGTTTTAGCAAAATACAAGCTGGAACAATAGAACAAAGGAGGAACAGAGGAGAACAGTTCAATAGTGTTGGAGAAGAACACGTTAAAACTATAAACCTGAATATTGTAGTGTTCTATTTTTCTTGTACGAGAATGTGTGCTATAGATGTATACATATGAAGGAAACTTGTAAATAGTTTGATAACCGGTGATCTGAAAACACCCAGTGAACAGTTTTTTTGTTGTTAATCTGCGGATTACAAATATGCGCTTATATAATGGGTCAGAATACCCATAGAGACTATATACCTTTTTATTGGTATCCATACTCCATTATCCCTCATGGTACCCGTGCCCGATACCCGTGCTAGCTCAATAACTCTTACCCTTAATGTCAAGTAAATATGAAGTAACTTGATATATACCCCAGTGAACAAACCCCTTGGTGCCTAGTTATGAGAGTATGGTACTCAAATTTTGCCCTTCTTAATTCTCCCTCATTTCCTGTTCCCACTCCCCTCGCTCCACCTCCTTCCTTTCCTTCCCCTTCCACTCCCTTCCCTCTCTTTACCATCCTCCTTCTTCCTTTTCTCCCCTTCCCATGTGCCTCTCTCTCTTCCATCCGACTTATTCTTTCCCTTCCAACATTATTCTCTCTCCCTTTCTCCTTTTCCTCCCTTTCCTTCGTCTCCCTTCTTCCTTTCTTCCCTTCACCTACCTCCTTTCTTCTCTCTCTCCTCTAGCCCTCCTCGCTCTCCCCCTTCCCTCCCTTAATACCCCTTTCCTGTCCTATCTTCCACCTACCCCTTATAGCACTGATAGTAGGGTGCCCCCATATTACCAAATTACCCTCCTCCTTCATGTAAACAAACAAAAAAAGGCATGGTACTCCCAAAATGCCCCTCCCTACCCCCCTCGTACCCTACCTCTCCTCCCCTCTCTTTCTTTACTCCCTCTCCCGCACCCCTTTTTTCTCCCCCCCCCCCCCCGTACCCCGAAGGCCAAGCCAAGGTACCTTAATAAGGCCACAAAAAAGTCCAAGTGCACACTACCATGTGTCCCGCCCTCGCCTTTCATTTGCGTTTGGATCATCAATATGATTGTTTTTTATCTATTATCATCATCATTGTTATTTTATTATTATTATTATTATGAGAATTATCATATTTGTTACTAGTATTATTATCATTATCATTATTATTATTTTCATTCATTGTTTTATTTATACTGTTTTTGTTTAGATTATTATTTTATTTCTATTATTTTGATTACTTCTCTTATTATCATCATTTGTATTATGATTATGATTGATATTAGTATCATTATTAATATTATTCCGATTATCATTATTATTGTAATTATTAATATTATCATTATTCATATCATTATTATTATCATTATCATTATTGCTATCATCATTATTCTTATTATTATGATTATGATTATGATTACGATTATGATTATTATCATTATCATTATTATTATTATGATTATCAAAATTATTGTTATCATAACCATCACCATTTCCATTATCATTAACATCCTCATCATTATCTTTATGACAAATATCAATTATCAATATACAGGGCGAGGACACAGGCAGACAGACAGACGTTTTTCTGTTCGTGTTGTTGTTTCAACATTCAATTCTCAAATATATCAGCTAAATGTTAAACCAAAATGTTTCGTCTTATGTGATGATGGTGGAGAATTGTTCGTCCCTTTTCCAAAAAATAAAGGGACAGATAGAGATGTTATGTAATTGAGAAAAAAATGAGAGAAAGAGAGAGAAGGATGTAAAAGACAGAGAGAGAAAAAAGAGGAAAGACTTGTGACTACCGTATATTTTTGTCTGTTTCTTTATATTTCTTTCTTTTTTTCCTAAATGATAATAAAAAAAGAAAACATATTTCTTATGCTGTCAGGAAGGTCCACTGATTCTTATTACGATTCGGTAGAAAGAGAGAGAGAGAGAGAGAGAGAGAGAGAGAGAGAGAGAGAGAGAGAGAGAGAGAGAGAGAGAGAGAGAGAGAGAGAGAGAGAGAGAGAGAGAGAGAGAGAGAGAGAGAGAGAGCAGAGAGAGAGAGAGAGAGAGAGAGAGAGAGAGAGAGAGAGAGAGAGAGAGAGAGAGAGAGAGAGAGAGAGAGAGAGAGAGAGAGAGAGAGAGAGAGAGAGAGAGAGAGAGAGAAAGAGAAAGAGAGAGAGAGAGAGAGAGAAAAAAAGAAAGAAAAAGAGAGACTGCTAATTCCCAATACTATCACTCTTCCAAAAAAAAAAAATCTTGTTTTAAAACCCAAAACAGACAAAGCCTTCCTCCTTCCTTTCCCTTCCCTTCCTGCAGCAAACAAAAAACAAACAAAAATTCCTTCGTTGATGTTATTTAAATGTCTTTGTACATACTGTAATGTCACTCTTATATATCACTAAAATCATACCCGCTTCTTTGTAAGAAGTTACTAAGGGTCATAATAGCATGTAATACATCGGACGGTTATAGAATTACTTCGGAGAGAAAGAGAGAAAGAAATAATAAAGATAATTAGAAAATGAAAATAAAACAGAGTTTTATGAGAATGTGGTTAACTTAGATTGTGTATATAAGACAGAATATGTAATAAATGGATACTTTTGAATAATGCTGTTTTATTCGCCAATTTGGTAAGGGTATTAATAGCATTAGTAGAAATAATGTTGATAATAATAATAATAATAATGATAATAATATAATAAAATAATATCAATAATAATGATAATGATAATTAACAAAAAACGACAACAATGATAATGAAAATAATGATAACAATAATGATATTAATGATCATGACAATGATAATGAAAATAATGATGATGATAATAGTGATAAAAATATTAATGATAATGATGATGATTATAGTGATGATAATAATAATCATAATGATGAAAATAAAGATAATAATGATAGTAGCAATAATATAATGATAATAATAATGATGATGATAATAGTAATAGTAACAACAACAACAACAATAATAATAATAATAAACAATAATAATAATAATAAAAAAATAGTAACACTACTACCAATAATGATAACAATAATGATAATGATAATAATAATAATTGTAATGATAATGATGGTAATGATTATGATGAGGATAATCAGAATAATAATAATTATAATAATAATACCAATGATTATGATTATAATAATAATAACAATAATAACGATAATGACAATATTGATAACAGCAATAATGATCGTAACAATAATAATAACAGCAGTAATGATACTGACAGCTACAACTGTAGCAACAGTGATCATAAGAAATAAGAAAAGATAATGATAATGATAGAAAATAATAACAATAATTGTAATAAGGACAATGATGATAACAATAACAATGAATGCTAATCATAATGATAATGATAATGATGATAATGATAATAATATATAATTAATATAATAATAATAATAATAATAATAATAATAATATAAAAATTATAACAGTAATAATTGTAATTGTAATTATAGTAGATGTAATTACAAGCAGAAGCAATCTTAATATGTCAATTTTTGCTTCACAACTTTGTTTCCAACACTGAATAAAGCCAATTAATAGAACTTCAATTATTCAACGACATGGACATCAAAAGACATTCCGCCCAAATCATCATCAAATTCAACAAATTCCCCAAACCTCCCTTCGTCGTTGAACCAGGTAAGATAACATTAATTAATTCCTATCTTGTTCCCAAAAGGTGATCCATCCCCGCCTTTCTCTCTCTCCTCTCTGTTGTTGCCGAAAACTGAAGCCTCAGAATTCGCAGTAAATCTCGCGGAATCTCGTGAAATCTCGGACATCTGAGGAAGTCCTTGACATCTGATGTTTATTTGGCATTTTGTTTCTTCCTTTTCTTCTCCTTCTTCTTCTTCTTCTCCCTTTTCGTAAACATTTCCTCCTGTGAGTTAAGGGCTTCCGTGGTTAGAAGGTCGTTGGCTGATGTATGGCGCTGTCAAGGGAGGATGGATGGGTGTCGCGTCGTAATCCATTTTCTCTGTCTCTATTTCCTCTTTCTCTGTCTCTCTCGCTATCTCTCTCCATTTTTCTTTCTCTTTCGAGTGTCTCAATGTATTTCCTTTCTCTCTCTCTCTCTCTCTCTCCTCTCTTTCTCTCTCTCTCTCTTTCGAGCTCTACGTATCTCCATTTTCTCTTCTCTCTCTCGCTCTCGATTTCTCTTTCTATCTCCGTTTTCTCTTTCTGTCTCTGTCTTTCTCTTTCGATCTCTCACTTATCTCCTTTTTCTCGTTCTCTCTTTGTCTCTGTCACTTTCCTCTCTCTGCGTCTCAATTTTCTATTCTTTATCTTGCTCTCGTTCTCGCTCTGTATTTCCTATCTACATATGTGTATATTGGTACTTCACCTTATATTCATTTATGTGTGAAAACACACGCACAATATCTATCTATCTATCTATCTATCTATCTATCTCTTATATATAGTACATATATATAATATATAATATATATATATATATATATATATATATATATATATATATATATATATTATATAATGTATATGAGATAAAAGAAACAAAAATATAAGTCAAATAACAAGAATTAAACCTAGAGTAAAAAATTGGTTCTTAATATTGTAAAAAAAATACAAGCAGTTTAAAATGAAAGAATTACGTTTAAATGAGCGAACAAGTAATGATAAAACAATATAATTATTCACTTATATCAAAATCTACAATGAAAATAGCTTTAGTTTAAACAAGTTATAAAACAAACATTAATTGGTAAACCAAATTACAAAAACCTATACGGAAAATCTGCAATTATTGTGCTTGTAATTTTGTGATATGTGTTTTATTCACATGATGTGGGTATTCATCATTTATTTGAATTTAAGAGTCCATGTACAATGAGGTTGGTGGTCTTTTCTAGTCGAACGTTCATAAAAAGAGATCGTATATCTTCACGAGATTCATTGAATTTCAAAGCAGTTATTACGGATTTTAAGTGTGTAATGCCTGAAATTGAAAACAATTTAACCCAAGAAGTGATGTAAACAGACTTTGCTCCACCAATTCTCTATCATACAACGTACTCTGATGTCACTCTGCAATTGTTATATTTCATTTTAAGTTATCCCTGCGATCCAAATTTTGGCTGCCTAGGACCCCAGGAAACCGAATGTCTATGGAACTAACAGACAGACATAAAGCTTATTTAGATGTGTGTGTGAGTGTAAAATATGTGTGTATATATAGATACTTCTTAGAATCGGACAAAACATTTTTTTCTTCCTACATCCATAATTGTTCATTAAGAAAATTAAGTTCATTAAGGAAGTATGTTGCTTGAGGCTTTTCATCTTATCCTATCCACATTCTGTCGGAATCATAGACATCTGGATTATTCTTATGATTACAAACATTTACTTGTCTGTGTGTCTATAATATATTAACAGATTAGGGCACACAACGCTACTTTTGAAATTTGTAAACCTCAGATTTTACTTTTACTACTTTTTTATTTTATTTTACTTTTACTTTTAGAGAGAGAATATATATCTGATGTACTGCTAAAAATGTACTAAACATTT